TATATATATATATATATATATATATATATATATATTGTTTATAGTAAATTGTTTATAGTATATATTGTATATATTGTTTATAGTAAATTGTTTATAGTATATATATATATTATTTATAGTAAATATATATATATATATATATATATATATATATATTGTTTATAGTAAATTAATTTAGAGGTAGAATTGATATCAATTGTTATTGTATGATTGTTTTATGTTATTCTATGTTTATAATTATTCTATGAATATTTTTTGTTTTATAACTACATAGAATGTAATGAGACATTAAAAGTTGTATATAAAAATTATGTTATAAGTATGTGTGAAAAAATAAGAGTAATTATAACTTACGAGAAATGACTAATCAATTTTAAATCAATTTTTGGATAATATACATTCAACAGATGTATGATGTTACTCAAATATATAAAATAAGAATGTGACTGTTAGTTGTATAAATCAACTTCTATAAGTATGATATGGAACAAGTAAGTAAAATGAAAAGAGAATTTATCTGGAATGTATACTAAAAGAATAAAATTTAAAAAAAATTAATAAAATCCCTATACAAGATTTAAGTTTATATGTGTGTTGCAAAATTTGTAAAAAAAAAAACATTTTAACGATTCAAACTGAAAATGTTGCATAAACGTCTTTACTAATTTCTTCAGGATCTGTTATTACATAATAGACTCATCAATCTAGCAAGGCAAAAGATTTCATTAACAATAAAATATTTTTGATATTCAAATGTAATACATGCAATAAAATAGTTTCTATAGTCGCACATTCAAAGCACTTTAGACATTATCAGGAATAGATAAATAAATGAAACTTATTGCTGATAATATAACAACTATTCTATGAAAAAATCTAAACAGTCTGGTTAAAAGATGAGCAGTAGATTAACTTTTATTGTTACATTTTCTTTGATGTTCTTTTGAATATTTTAACACATTGAAATTATTTTCGTCCACGCTTATTTAAATTCTGTAAAAGTACTAATAAAATTTGCAAAAAATTATAAATATACGTTTAAATCTATAGAATATATTAAAAAAAAAAAAAAAATATATATATATATACAATGAATCCTATACACACACACACACACACACACACATATACATATATATATATATATATATATATATATATATATATATATATATATAAGGTGAAGTAAAAAGTTCTGAGCGTTTTTTCGCTTTATTTCGACGATGAAATTAACATAGTTAGGATTATCCGATTTCGATCAAATATGCGCCGTTTTGTTCGATAACTTTTGTCCATTTTGAAGGCAATTTCATAATTCCGCGATTGAAGAAGTATTCGTCCCTATTGGTAAAAAACTTGACCAGCTCATTTTTACAAGCCCCTTTTGAGGCCAATTTTGTACCATCAAGAAAATTTTGCAAATGCTTGAAAAGGTGATAATCGCTTGGTGCCAAGTCTGGACTATACGGCGGGTGCAATAGAACCTCCCATCCAAGCTCTCGGAGCTTCTGGCGCGTCGTTAATGATGTGTGCGGCCTGGCGTTGTCTTGATGGAACACAACACTCTTCCTATTGGCCAATTCTGGC